CAACCATCCCCTGATAGGCCGCGGCAGCGAGAGGAGAGAGAGAGAAAAAAATCGACCAGCAGAAGGCCGTCCAACGTGACACGCCACTTGGGATCTCTGGTGGATTGAGTGCATTTTACGCTTTGACAATGGAGAGCCGACCAAGCTCTTCGAAACGTCAGCACTTAATTCCGCTGCTATGCTTAAGTGTAAGATAAGAATTACCGTAGGGACTTATTTGTTTTCTACGATGTACTGCACTTATTTCGTTTCTTCATGGGTGGCGATGCGCCATCCGTAAAACCCCTATTACCACCATTCCCGTATTGAATGGGCCTGAGGTTACTGGTTGGAAGGGGGAGGGGTTACACAACCTATCGCTGCCGGAAAAGAAAAGATCACGCACTAAGGACGTAATATGAGACCCAATATTGTATATATCATATTGCTGCCTGCTAAATTCCAAAACAGTGGCGTTACTTCAACAGCTATGGCAGAGATGCCATCTGTTTGGTCACTGCATCCCCACACGAAAATCTTTTGCGGAAGCGAGTACTACGAGGTTTTCTTTCACGAACTCCTTCAGAATTAGTGTGTCTTTTGATACGTCATCATCCAATCCAGTAGATTTGTTCCCTCCATCTCCTAAGGTTCGGCATTCTTCCACAAACACAGCTAGTTTGTGTTCAGTTACCGACAAATGGCAACCCATATCGTCCCGACGTTCACCATCGCTGCTTTACCATTTAAGCAGCAATGCCCTTCGTCCATCCATTGCAGCACTTCCGCACGGAAATCTTTCGTGAGGGCGGGTAGTGGGACTTTTTTCCCCCAATTCCGTCAGAATCGGTGTGTTTCTAGATACCTTGCCGTCCACGCTGGGGTTTTCTTCTCTCAGGCACGCGGGGTTCGGATTATTTCTTTTGATAGTTTGTCACAAATACCGGCCACAGGTACAACAACGTTGCCCTTAGTAACTATGACCACGTCACGAACAAAGATAGGTACATGCTGGTCGTCCTCGAACCGAGCATCTAAACCGAAATATAACCGTCTCTCCCCCGAAATCCTTGACCACGTGGCTGTCACTTAATTACATAGGGGAGATTTCAGCGTTTGCCTATCGATATCGGAAAGGATTCATATGACGTTTTGGTCACCATCTTTATTTTCTGGTGGTACACTGTTTCAGCTGATGTACGGCTATCTACGCCAAAAATGACAAATTTGGGAGTACCCCATTGGTACTTATTTGTTTGCTGCCAACGTGTGTCTTATATCCACAAAAAAAACATGGTAACCGTAAACGGCAGTACAATGAAGACTCATAGTAGGTGGAACAACTCATGAAATGTCGACCGAAATTCCGAAATGGGTTTTCGTTTCGAAGGATTAGGAGGAGGCAGTAAGTGGCAATGCGGATTAGGTAGAGCCGTGTCATAAGGGGAGAGGGGGGGACGGGGGCGTGGAGACCTGCCTACAGTTAATCGATCTTTGACCACGGTAAAAGCGGAGTGTGCAAGAGGTACTTCCGCGCGCACAGCAGCGGCCTACGTAGCCTGATGGCAGTCGCCTAGGCTGCTGCTAGTAGGCGCTGACCCAGTCGCTTAGGATAATTAGGTAAAACCTTATAAATTACACGGAAGGCTTCGTTGAGATCCACACGATGCCTAGAATCAACCACGTGTGCGAAAATGGAGCTGTGTATGCTCTTAACTGCACCCTTCCCCAGCCACGCCAGCAGGTGCTCTCGCATTCGTGCGGATAGGCGCCGACTGGTACAACCAATATAGCCTGCTCCCCATTACCAGGTAAAGGAACAGATACACATGGATGTGGTCTGACCTGGTAACCCATCCTTACCTTCCCCGGGTAAGATGGGTTTGGTCGAAAACAATACTTGAACTTTTGCTGCCGCGAAGGTCTGCTAAACGGCTTGGTCAAGGCGCCTTCTCAGGAGTTTAATCGTCGCGTTCCCTTGAAAGGGAACTTTAAGGAACAGATTTTGTTTTTCCGCAGTCAGTGTGAGCGTTTTCCTCGGTCGTTCTAGAAGGTTCCCAACAATAAATCTCTCAGGATACCCGTTCTCACGAAGCAATCTAACCGTCAACAGAACAATACCATCTTTCGATGGCTATTAGATGCGTTTTCCCACATCTAAAATATTGTAAAGGCCGCATCAGCCTGGAAGTTCGGAAATGTGGTGAACTAAACAACTATTAGGCAAATGTAATTCTAGCCACCTATTTTCCATGAAACATTTTTACCAGGTGGAAAATGCGATAAACGTGAACCTAAATGACGTCAGCCAATTTCGACACCACATATACACGGAAAACAGTTTCTGTATCTTTCTAGGTCACTACTTGTTGCTGTACGCATAATCTGCAATAAATGCAGTGCGATTTGCGGTACTCCCCAATTTAATTGGCACATTAAGCCATATCTGCCGGCCTTCACGCAGTATAATGATCATTTAGGCAGTTTTAAATGCGTGAGTAGGTTTCACCCCTTTATCGGGATTGTAGATCACAGTAAGTACCGCTTGTTGACCTCAGGCGTTTACCTCCTGCCCTAAGAACAACAGACACACTGAGTTTGCCTTGGCCTTTTTACGTTTGCTTTTAAATGGACGGTGTTTTTGCTTGTTTCCAACGCATTTAAATACTCAGATCTACCTTCCTCACATCTTTTACCTCCTCGAGTGACCCGAATTATCCAAACTTCCGCAGACGAAAACAAAAAATATTGTTCTTTGCTAAACAACTTTTTCTTAGGTAAAAATAGAAGGGATTACAGATACATAAGTAGGCTGGAGAAAGTCTTCGCTGCGGGTATAAGTCGTGGACCACTAAAACCACTGCTGTCGGCCGTCGCCTTCAGACATGCTTCCGTCCAGGGTTGAAAGTGTATTTATATAAATACAATCGTAGGATACAATCCGAGAGGTTACAAAACAAGTTCAGAATCGTGTTGCGGACTCATCAGTGGAGTTTTTCGGAGTGGGAAAGCCCTGCAAAACGTCGTCTCTGTGCCGAAAATAGAAGTCTGCCAGCTCGTCTGTAGTACAGAATCTTTCTTTGTGACCCCGGAGTCTGTAGAATTTGTTCAGTCTGCTGGCGTCGCGGCAAATCTAAAAAGCAAGCATCACTGCTAGATCAGAGGCCAGGATGTCTTCAATGATGTCTCGATGTTTAGATCCAATCTTAGATATATTTTCAGAAGGATCGGTAGGATCATCTATTTTTGTTGTCGTACGGGCTGTGAAAATACGAAATCCGACGGTATCCACGGTATATCCTGCAGCGCAGCTAAAGGTGACTTGTGCGAGAGTTGGTCCATAAGGGTAGTAGACTTTCGCTGCATTCATCGCACTCTCTCCTTCCTAACCCTTCTAGGCCTAGAGAGAATGTAGACTCAGAAAGACCGGAGGCGAGATAGGACACAGGTGGCTGGTGCGGCGAGTATCAGCACTTAGGCGTGCAACCACAATCAAATTTATGACATTTATTATGGGCGCGCAGCTCGATACCACGTGTTGGAC